TAGGGTGCCGCGAGTCATTTTGTAAAGGCCAGATATGCTTTCAATCACCTTCAACGATGCTTAATGAAGTTGAATGCATACCGCAAGTCATTGTAAAAGCCGTATATGCATTCAATCACCTCCACCTATGCCTAATGAGGTCGAGCGCATGGCACATCCCTCAGAGATAGATCAACGCCGAGAGCTTTGTTTTTTATCCCTTTTACAATATGTGGGATATCTGCAGTTTTGATACAAATACGAAATCGCTCCATTCTCGCATATAGAAATTACTTAATAAACGACTTTCTTTTCTGAAAACAAGTAGGCATTTCGTACTTGCGCATGTGGTAGGTGTATGCATGGTGGACATGACAGAAACCATTAGTTGAGAAGAACAGTACTACTGGTAGGCTTGTAGAGTTTATGAACGGCGGCGGCAATACTGCGGCAAGAACGCCATGTGCACATCAAAACAACCGTTTTCTAATGAGACTGGATTGATCGCCGAATCCATAAGAGTAGTTGAAAAGGTGGTACACGTCTTTTACTTAAACACATCTGCTTTCATTTTTATTCCTATCTAGTCAGGATGCCACCTAGACCTGCACCCATCCAATAAAAAAAAGTGAATCGGTGCAGTGATTATAAATGAAATAACAGCTAGTGCCCAAAATTTTTATCTAATAGCCTCTACACTTGGCAGACAACACTGTTTCCTACAGTTCTTGGTATTCAGTCGAAAAATAAAAGTCCTAGAAAGTTGTGAACTTTGTGGAATTAGAAATTGGCCTTTGCTTTACTGCTCTACTGCTGCGTAGAACATTCCTGAAGTGATCTCAATTCGAGTGTTGTTTGAAGGGCAAGTCTCCGATGGGAGAATATCTATAAGATTTGAAACTCTTGTAAGTATGGACGACGGCAGCAAACACTGGCGTTACTTTGCTGAAATAAAGAAGTGTTTCCAGGCTCTGAGAAAGGCGAAATCCTCCGAAACGTCAGCTTATTCGTGAATAAAGAATAAAAATAACACCTTGCGTTCGTTCAACAAGAATACGAAGAATTATTTGATCAATGCCGAGGTTCATAGAAAGTCGGCCGTGGGAGTTACTGCAAAAAAGTGTTCACGGAATAGATTCTAGTGGCGCAATCGCTTCGATACCCGAAGTACGATCTTCGATGAAAAAGCCAGGTTTTATGGACTCCAAAAGATCAAGATTTCAGACTAATAGAGAAAGAGAAAGGCGCTATATTGTTTGCAAAACTTCATTACGAGCTACGATATGTTTTAACTTATTATTTACTGCCTACTCTTTCTAATAGCAGAGAATGTTGCGAAATATGACTTCAATGATGCTGCGATATTTGCTAAACTCCGGACCGCAGGTGCCCGCAGTGAAGAACGAAAGTGATATTACCCTTTCCGGGAGTAACGCGTTCACCAGCACACCATCCGGGTTTTTCGTTTCACCTGTCTCTTACCTATATATGTTTATTGTTCTTTCATGTCCTATAAGAAGATCGTATGTGGTGGCTTGCACGGTTTAGTCATTCGACACAAAAACCTAAAGGTAACGTCGAAGGACTTCATCGCGCGCTCGCTGACGAAGTTAGTCTATGCGTGGTCAGTTGCCGCAAATAATCATGGGTCTAACCTTAAATGTTGAGGGCCTGCTATATGCAGAATCTTAGGTGGAAACTGATCCACGAATTCTGACAAGTAATTGTAAGCGGATCATGTTTGTAACTCACTTCTAGCCTGCGAATTACCTGGCCGATTTTAGCGCACTCCGCTTGATGTGTCGACCCACTCGTTAATTTTTCGTACCGACTTTTGAATTCTTTACGCATGATACTAGGCTAAGAGAATCATCTCGAGGTTGCTTGCCCGCCACCTCGCCATCTTCATGACGACAAATTAATTCAGGTTCCACACCTCCATTACTAACTAGTAGTTCAACAAGTTTTTCATTACTTCTCGAATTTGTCGAATCGTTTTCAGCAATGATTTTTTTCCTCGAGATATTCTATCAAATTCGGCGGACTCTTTCTTTACGTTCCCACTGTTGCGCTGTAAGAACCTTATTGTATTATAATATCCTATGAACTATTTCATTGCACTATTGTCATATTTTGTGTAATACCAGATGCTACCAGTAATATTTCTTACGGTAGTACGGTAAAGTCCTTCCGCAAAGGTAACAAAGACTTGAGAATCATTTGTTCACAGTTGCAGTAATAAAATGAATATTCATTAACCTCACAGTTGCTTCTGACATTTGCCATTCATTGAAAAGAACAAAGGATTTTCAACAAAAGCTGAGTATGGCTGAGTGTAGTTTGTATGCTACATATTAACCACAATGCTATCGAGATATTTGCAAAACTCCGGACCGCAGCTCTTTGTCGTGGGGAGCGAACGAGCTATTGTCCTCTCCGGGTAGTAACGCGTTCACCACCACACAATTTAGGTCATTCGTTTCGCATGGAATAGAGCGGTAAATATTACATTCTCTCTGATTTACGCAATTTGGAGCTGTTTAGGTGTCGAACGATCCCTAAATAATCGAAAAGAAATTCACTCGCTATCTATTCTATCAATTCTTTATTATTTCCGTTGTACCAGTTTAATCACAAAAGCCATTATTTTTGCAACTATATAAAATTTAGTTCAGAAATTTATTCTACGAGCATGGCCAGAAAAAAACTTGTGCCTTAACGAATTTTCCGGTGACAGTCTTTAAACTAATCCGTTTTCAATGCGGCTTCAGAATTTTCTTTGTTCGCTGGTGCTGTTAGAAGCCGTTTTCAATTTTTTTGCCCGTAAAACTTTTTTTAGTCATGTGATGATGCGTTTCACTGGAAAAACTTTCAAATTTTCCACTTAATTGCAGCTATACCAAAAATTTCGACGCACATAACTCTTTTCCCGTTTAAAGACCGACGTACATCCAGAAGTTGTCTACATCGACCGTTCGAAGCGGTTTCATATTCATTAAAGCTTGAAGGAAAGGAGACATAGCTGTGCTGGTGGCTTGGTAGATGGCCGTACGTTCCTACAATCCCATGGTGTTCCTTAGTCAAACAACCCCTCAGCAGGAACCTATCATCCATTCCCTTCTCTGTCAACTCTCTTTCCAAGGAACGGCATTACCGTTTCTACAACCATGTTGACCGTTGCCAACCATTTATCAGATGGGAGCAAACGATTTGTAAATTTAACCTAATGTACAATAGTAATATGCATTAGAAAAGTGTTTACTGCTAAAAGTAGTCGATAATTTCTTTTACAAACTCTTTCCTTTGTGTGCGGTAAAACTTGCCAAAGAGGATATAAGAAAGCAAATTAAAATCAAGGAATTAGCAGGTGCTTGTATTGATTCGAAAAATAACAGTACTATAGTAAAGGCAATTACTTGGATATTTGGTTATTTAGAGTGCCCGTCCGCACCGCTTCCTGATAGAGAAACGCCTATGAATGCCATATTCCAATGCCGAGGTTAAGAGAAAGTCGATCCTGGGAACTATTACAAGAAACGCCTGACTCCTTCGCAACTTGGGAGATCTTGTCGGGGTGTCAAATCACCTGCTGTACACTGCAGCCCCATACCCAGCAATAGCTCTCACGATGAGGCGGTAAACCGTTGGAAGGGCACGCTATTTACAACATCAAAATAACTGGTTTCCAGTGAGATTCGGTTGACTATTATGTCCAGAAAAGTGCTGAAAAGGGTTAGAACTAGATGAGAGACAGTCGAGACGAAGAACCGGCATGGTGTGATGGTGAACGCGTTAGCTCCTGGAAAGGGCAATAGCGCATTCATTCCCCACCGCAGACACCTGCGATCCGGAGTTTTGCAAATATATCAGCATCAATGAAGTCATGAAGTCATACGATATGTTTGTTGAAATTCGGAAACACCAGTCAATTTGTAGAAGCGGAGGAATAACCCTGAAACGTAGCAGCGATAACCCTATTCACAGTCAAGATGTGGCTGTTCACTTCATTACTTCTCTCTGAGCCACGAAATTACCTCGACCAAAGAAGAACTTTACGCACATTCTTACGTGCACAGAATAGTTCCTGGCTCCCTTGCTCAGAAAATGATCGACGTTGGATGCGCTACCGATTTATTGATTATAAAGCGGAAAAAATCGCCGGTCACTCTGTTAAAATAAGGAACGGCGTCTGAAGAATTTATCTCATATTCCTAGTGAATAGCATTAATCACATTTGAGCAAGCATCACAAATTCGTACTGGATGTGGAACGGCTCTATATGGAAAACGAATATGTATATGTATACATATATATATATATATATACATATATATATTTGCTAAGGGATAAGCGTCTACAAACCAGACTTGAAAACAACAGCAATTCGCGACGAGGCTCCACATGGGAAATGTAACAAAACAATAGTGATTGAGTGTGTATAGATGTGCGAAGAAAGGCCGCTTCCAAAGAACTTTTCACACATTGTATCACTTAATTAACAATGAATTACTCATATAGAGAGCGATACTAACCTATTTGATGAAAAAATCCTAAATACACATTGGTATAAGATACCCGATCCCTGAAGAATAAATTTCTTTTACTCAGAACTTAAGCGTTTATCAACAGCTTAGTCGCAGTAGGATAGGAGAAATATAATTACTAAACTCATGGTTCATAAAGGGAAACCATGAAGCCATGATGATCATCATCAAATCATAGCCGACAATCACAAAACAGAAGAAAAAAGGCCCATTACAAAAGTATTCGCAAGCCTATACCGCACACGGTACTTATTCGCCACAGATTCCGCTGTTCGTCGACACTTCTGTCTTGTTATGTATGCTTCTCGTCTTTCTTATCACCCGTATCCTCCTCACTTCTTTCGTCTTCCTCCATATTCTCATCGGGAATGTTTGCGTTATGATATTCCGTAATCACCACTCCATCGAATGGCTTTTGCCGAAAGCACTCCAATAAGAACGCCATTACTGAAATTATTTCCAATCATATGACATTAAACAGTGCTGCCATAGCGTTATTGTTATTCTCATGCAAATTGATCGGTTCTTAATAATTTAATAAAGTAAAAAGCTCATTACCAATAATACCGGCTTCCCATAACCATCTACTCTGTTCTACTTTTGACTTCATTGCCAATACCTGTCTACTTTCCTGCAAACGAACGTTTTGTTCCACGTATTTCATTCATGCACGGGAAGCTTAGTTATCCATTATTATTAATTATCCATTATTTCTCGTTTGCAGTACGACAGTACCTTCGCCATATTGGTTTTTTTCTTCATACAGCGCATGAAAGGTACGTTAGCCTATCACTTTGACCAAGAGATGCGGTTCGTATTTTATTAAGCGACCTTAGAAGAAAAAACGAAAGAGTATTACTAGTCATCATTATTTTTTTTATTAAAGACGTCTCCTAGTTGTACAAATAATCCAATCAAATCAGTTAAAGCCAAGTCAAGAGTAATACTCACGTTTTCCTAACCTTCTCTCAATGGCAACATAGTGCTTATATGCCAGGATTGGGGCTACCGGATCCTTGGACAGAGACCTGAATATGCGATAGACGGATTACGTCCACTTGACATGTTGCTGTCGCAGACATGGAAATTGAAGAAAAATGTCGTAATTGAGAAGAAGAAAGCGTCTCAGTGTTACAAAACACGTTTAAAAATAAACCGTTCTATAAAACAATCACAAAAAATGCCAATTTCATACGTACAGTTCTCATAAATGGCTAATTAGGCACTCGTTTTACAGCTATATTCCCTCCTTACTTAAAAATTACTGCCACTTTCGACAACATTAATATATTATTGCTGTAAATTATTTCATTAATAAGTTAAGGCGAGGTTGTTAACAAACATTTATTCGGCCAACATTTCGATGTCTTCGTCTTCCTCGGAACCGATGATCCAACTCGATGGTCCACAGCCACTCGCCCTCTCGATGTGGAGTCTTTGAGGTCGTCACGAGTCCAATCTTCTTCATAGCAGCACCGTTCCAATCAAATATCGAATATCGGACATCTTTCGAATATTTGCTAACAACCTCATGTTATGTATCAATGAAATACGGCACATCGATTATTCACAAAGAGGTGAAATGAAGGCGGTTTTACAATGGTTTATTATTACTATTTCTGTTAATATTACAACAAACAAAGCGTCGCGCTCAGTCCGATGTTAACTTTTTAATGTTTGAAATTTCTACTGAACCAGTTTTACTATTTTACTCATAAATTAGTTCATTATTAATTGAAGACGAAAAAAATTGCTGAGAAACGGAAATGACACAGAACTGCTACGGTTATAGCACTACGACTTTATTTCCCAATTCCAAACATTACCTTTACACCTTTTTAACATCTCCGTACTTTACTACCGAGGTTAAGTGACGGTTGGTTTAAAAATTCCAAATATTTTGAAAAAAACAACGTTGAAAACCCACGCATGAAGCGCTTTCGTGAGCGATTGAGGTTTCGTGTAGAAACGAAGAAGAGTGTTAAGAGTTGACGGGCGAATAACACAACATTGTCGTAATGGTAGAATTATATCATCGTCATCAATGTCCGATCGACCAAAACTGAAAGACATTCTCTGTGGAAGGCACGTAATAAACGGTGAGTTTTTTGAGAACCTGTTGACCGTGTGCTTGCGCTTTAGATTTCCATCTTTCTGGATTTGTTATTGAAGCGTTTGACCTAGTAAATTACATATTAGTGTACCCTTCCAAGCTATGAAGAAGACGATACTGCCAAAACGTCAGTTTTAACGGAATGAAGAATAAAGTAACACCTTGTGCTTGCTCAATGAGAATATCGGGAGCTATTTGATCAATGCCGTGGTTAATAGAAAGTTGGCCTTGGCAATTATTGAAAGAAGTATTAAGAGAAAAAAGAGCGAAAACATATGACCGGGAACTTCATTTCCATACAAATACCACTTCCACGCCCTCTATCAACAGCTAGAATGAAATTTACTTCCGAGTCATTTTCATTCCAGTGAACCGTCATTTATTTGCTTTATCTATTCATTACACTAAACTAATCAGATAACTTATCCAAATCTCTAAATAGTCGTCAGGAAAACGATTGTCGAAAACTGAACCACGTTCATTCTAAAGATGTTTTCAATTCCTTGTTCTGGTTGGAATTTATTCTCATTTCTTAACTTCTACTTAATGGGTTTAATTTCCCTCTGGTTTAAAAAGAAAAGACTATATAATTCGTTCATCAAAAAATACAGAGATCTTTCGCATTCGAATAAAATAATGAAATGTCAACAAAAAAGGTGATTAAAACTTTGGTTGGTTAAAACTGATTTAATTAAAACTAATGAACACTTCTAGTTATTCTCAAACAAAGTTTTAGAACAAAACTCCTTACAAGACCTGCACGTGACTTAAATTCGGCAAAAGATTTACTTGGAGAAGGCTGCATGTTGATCAATACGGCCCACAGCCTTGGAAGCTCCCGATTTATTCCGTTGATTGCCGGACATATTTCTCCATCGTGATCGTTTCACCAGAATTTATAACTCAGTAATGGATCAAACAAGCTGAAGACCACTAAACGGTCAGTATGACTTTCTTTTGTTCTAATTTCAGCTTTGGGAAGCGCAGTGAAGATTAATCACGGCCCAGTCACTAAATCGACTCGTCGCCGTTCGTCGTGGAAGATCAACTTCTCGTAGTCTGGCACAATACAGTCGAGATATAGGTTATTATTGCTGCGCCGAAGAAACGTCGATAACAGCCCAAAACGGCGACTTCTTAGATTGCCGTCCAATTCGAGAGGGGTTTATTTTTCGAGCTTTCACGACATTTTAAACTTCTCAAAGTGATTCGGAACAACTGCGATGCTTATAGTGACATCTTTTGCAACTTTGCAAACACTTCTGAGTGCATTTGTTCCCATCAAAGTCTCCAGTTATTGTCGTCTATAGCAGAAGAACATCTGTTTCCTGACTGATCCTCAAGATCGAATGCGTCATGGCGAAATTTTCAAACCAACATTGCCTTGTACGTCCGTTAAGTCTACTTCGGTCCCCTACCTCACTAATGCGAAACCAGATCGCGATCGAAACTGCCTTAAACGACGTCATCACCCTCAGAAGTTCAGAATTCTAGACAACTCATACAAAAAAATCCGCTCCTTATTGGTAAAAATGCAGTGATCCTGACGGTTTTCAACATGTGTTTAAATTGTTGAGCTTGCACAAGTTTGATAATAATGTTTGTTGGGTTAGCGTTTCCACGTCTTCGTCTAGAGCCGATGATCCCGGTCATCTAATAGTTTTCATTCCGATAAGTAAAGTTTATTCTGAGCTGATTGAAATCGGGGCTAAATTTCCGGAAAACTTAATGCAACATCTATGTGGTTGAGACTTCCTTCCTTTGCTTCAGAAACTCTAGCTGAGCACGGAAAAAGAAGGATCTTAGTTCATTTTGAAAAAATGCACGCCTTCAATCCACTACCTTAAAGATGGGCAAAAAACCACTTGCTCTTTAAAAACAAAGAAATAAGAGGGTAATATGCAGGCAGCTGTATCACTTTATCAAATTAACAACGAGATCTTCATCTAATTTGTGGTTAACTTCTTCCCGTCGTGTTAGCCCGATTTTTCCAATGACGCACCCAGCGCTACTCATTTACAATGTAGGACCTCATCATAAAATTTTTCCCGTTATCCGATTTTTCTTTCATGAATACAACAGATGTATTAAAAAAGCACAAAGCTCTCGACGTTGATCAATCCCTGAGGGATATACCATGCATTCAACTTCAATAAACACCGTTTGGAGGTGATTGAACGCATATCTGACCTTTACAGTGACTCGTGATGGCCTACCGATGTATTAAGCCAGTGCTGCTATCCTCTCATACAAGTCCGGTACCAATTTGCCGACTCCGGAAGGATGGAAAGCTTGGCGGCCATGGGAGCGGGGATTGATACCACGTCTGTGTTGGAGAGCGCTTTCGACCAATGCACCACATGCGCCCTACAGATGTATTAGATATGACGTGTAGAACTCTTGTCTACAGTAATACTAGAGCATAAATCTACAATGACAACCGATGGACAAGAGCCGTTAGTGACTGGATTCCTCGGAATGTTAGATGCACTGCACGAAGACCACCGACCCGATAGTCAGGTTTCTTTGCGAAAAGCCTAGAAGAAAGATATGATGCTCAACGAGCCCCTGGAGCAAACAGAACCCACTGGGCTACTCTTGCACGCGACAGGGAAAAATAGAAGATTTACTGGCGCCCGCTCGTGTCACTCGACATTCAACGGGACTACAGGTGATACTACGGGTTAGTACTTGAGTGAAGAAATGAGATAAAATGACCAAAGTACAAAATGTTCCGAGATTCCAGGAAACCACAATGGCTTAACGAGCAAATCTGCGGCAAATGGAGTTTATGCTGGGACCCGCACAACCAGTGAGGACGGGCCATTCAAGTATCAAGTTCAAGTAAGTGAAGTACAAAATAAAATATTGCAGAGGTAGTAGAAAAAGATTTCATGATGAAATCAACAAGTTGACATATAATGTTTGAGTCTATTATCGTGCGTTTAGGTTTTATTATTTAACTAATTTAACGAGTTTGATGTAGTGCAAAAACTCACGCACGGCCATTGTCCAAATGGATTGCGTAAGACGGAAAGTTCTCAAATACAACAAAAGACTCAAAATGATGCCGATCTTGATTTCCTAAAGCTAGAAAAGAATGAAGCCTTCCATAAAAAACAAGGTTTTTTCGTTTTTGAAAATTGTAAAGTATTTTAAAAGCACTATGGCTGATCTATAAACAGAATCCGATGAGTACGAATGTAGAAGTTAATATGAGAAAAGATAAAAAACAGCAACTGTAATGAATCATGGGGGAGAGCATATATGGTGCATGTAATATACCAAAGCAGTAAACTTACTACTACAGGCAAAATCAAGCAACAATGGGAATTTCCACAACTGATTAGACTTTATGTACTTATGATCCCACCTATGAGATAGTCAAGCACGTGAAGATCGACGAGGTCAAGCAGTTTTCGACCATGAGCGTACTGTCTCTTCACTTTCACCTTATTCGTGCAATAGTTCATATCAGATTGCCATTCAGCGACCTGATTCTTCTTCGAATACGTTCTGAAACGAAGGAAACTAAAACTTTAAGCTCTAAAGTCTTCCCTATGTAAATGAACAATTTCAGTAGCATAGTAGTCGAACTTTAAATGTCTACTATACATTTTCCACTTATTAGCGTCTTCGTTGGCTTTGAAGGTTGAAAAATCGAAAACAATTCATTGGCTCACCTGTCACCTAATTCTACATACGGTGGCTCACCGTAGTCTTATATACGTATGTGTAGGCTTTTTTTTTCTTAGAACTTCTATTCCTACATCAGAAAAAACTCATAAACATCGTTCGTTAGGCTATTTTTTTTTACCAGCCCCGGGGTCAAACACTGGGAGCCTGAAGTTCGATCAAAGCCGATATTTTCTGAATAACACTGAAAAATTCGATTTAAAAAAGAACGAACCGCCGATATGGGCTACGATTGTGCTTTCGTGGAACGACCGCCTCATCCGGGAGAAAAACCTGCACAGATCCTTCTTTCAAATCTGGTAATCCACAAATTGCGTGAGTTGTATCACAGTAATAATCACATCGCGAAACAAAACAACGATTCTTGGCTGAAAACAACGATTAACTACTTGTAAAAATCAAGAAAGCGTTGATACTACAGCGAAAAATGAAAAATTAATACACACTATTTGAGGGTTTTGAAAAAAAAAATTATGCAAAAGGGTCACTGGAAACAGTGTGTCCTCTTGTTTAGATGCGTAAAGCGCAAACCGTCCGTGTTGATAAACACCTAAAGTATATGCTATGCAATAGGACCCATTCGTAGCACCGTAGAGGTGACTGAATGCATACTTGACTTATGCAATCATTGCGGAGGCCCAATGAATGCAGTTAGTATTTTAAAGCTCCCAGTCTAGTCTGGTATCAATTACCCGACATCGGAAGAACCGACCCAACGCCCATGTGTGCATTGCATGACGTCTCTAACCACTATTGTACACTTGTTCCTTAAGCGCCCCTCTGGGGTAAGAAATTGATACCAGACTTGTACGGAAGAATGGCAGCACTGGCTCGTTAAAACGGTAGACCACTGCGAGTCATTGTAAAGATCAGATATGCATTCAGTTACCTCCAAACGATGCGTAATGAAGTCGGGTGCATGATGCATCCCTCAGGGATTGATCAACGAGAGCTTTATCCTTTATCCTTTTATAACAAACTATACTTGCCAGGTGATATGAAGAACGTTTTCTTGAGTTTCTTCTCGGCTTTCTCATACAATTCGGATGTCAAATTGACAATACGCCCCACAGTTGGTACAGCACGTCGAAATCCTAGAACCCTGAAGAAAACAGAGATGATAGATAGGATGAACGGCAGATCAAAATGAACGAATACTGGTCAACGCTTTTATCTAGATGTCTTTCTTCATACTGCGGTTATTTTAATTAGTTTTAAATCATCATCCAGTATTTTGATTCTCTTCTTTCACAAAACACTGCACAGAAAAACATCGCAGAAGTTTGCTTAAAAAGGGAACAATAAAACTAAAGAAGAGAAGCAACGAACCGCTGAACAGTCGCATTTAAAGCAAAAGAGTTTTATTCCACTAGACGTCACTAATGGTACGGTAAAAGAAGGTATACATTAATACATGGACAGCATTGGGTTCGTAACCGATTACGTTTACTCCTTGTATTTGCTCACTACATCCAGATTATAAATGAAGTAATCCTACCCACAGAACTTTCTCAGCAGCATCAACGTCTATCTAGAGAGAACAATTAACTGCTAACCTAAGCTGTTGTGATCGGTACAGTTGTGAAATTTCAGACTATTCGAATAAGCACACGATAATCAGGTCAGCTTTATCCCTACCCGCATAATTTATTTGGATCGAATCGCCTAAAATGTCCTTGATTTTTTGTTTGATTGATCGCAATGATCATTTCTGCAGTAGGATTTGCTGCCGAATTTTAAAGATCGTTTTTATAAAGTGGGGCATTTGAATCCAGCTCATGAGTCATAGCTGTTGTGATGAATACCTGGTAACACATTAGCGCTCTTTTCTCGGGATTCGACGAACAAGGAGCATTTGCAATGCTAATAAGGAGAGAATACGACAGATCTTTAAGCAGCAGTCGAACGCAATCAAACGCGAACCCGATCACTTCCATGGCTGACAGTTGCACGTAACACAATGAAACGGGTACAGTAAGAGCTGGGACCCGCACGACATCTGAGGACAAGCAATCTAAGAATCTAATTGAGCAGTGTTCACTAAAATGTAACGCACATTGTATTGGTGATCATTAAATTCCCAGGACCGAGTTTCTCTTAACGTCGGAATTGCTCATTGTTCAATGTTGACGCGTTTTATTCTTGAGCAGACAAAAGGTTTTCAACAACGAGATTTATTCAATATAAAACTGGCTGACGTTTAGACGCATTCGCCTTCTTCGGACCCTGAAAAGGTTAAATAAACACGTAATATACGCAGTCAAACACATTCACAAGCAAAGCGGAAAAGCGAAATACATAAATTTTATTCGCATAGTGATCAGCTTCCTCTAAACAATCACCGTTTTGTTCTTTTTAAGTCTGACAGTTATTGTTGAAGATCAGCCGCACAGGGTATTACATAGTCAACGAACGTGCCTAGGTCACATCAAAACATCACCCTGAGGTATGAGTGTTTTCAGATCACACGTGACCTCGCACCATACCTTAGGCCGATTTTTTGACTTGAGCCAACCACATTCCCTCGCCCATGTACTATTCTGTGCAGCTGGTCACCACCAAATAAATGGAAGACTTACAAAGAACAAAACGATAGGTGTTCAAAAGAAGCTGTTTACTATGCGAATAGAAATTTATGTTATATTTTGTCAGCTGAGGTTATGAAAGTATTTGCCGGAGTATACTGTGTGTCAATTTAACCATTCCAGGCTATAAAAAGAAGATACCGCCGAAACGAGAGCCACTACTGAGTAAATTTTGTTATTAACAACATCGTGTCTGCTCAAGAATAAAACGCCGACTTATTTGATCATTAAAATGAAAACTAAGCCACTAATTTCTGTTTTGATCCTATTGATGTTTTGCACGTGGCGGTGGGATGGCGGAATGCTTAGTGATGTAGTCTATCAGGAAGCAAGGCGCTAGCTGGACCTCTCAACGCGCTCCTCAGTACACGTGGAAACACCTTAGCTTGCCATCTTCAAGATTTCAAGGCGAATCGGCCAATCAACATTCCACGACATTCATAAAAAAGACGAAATCCTCAATCAGCAGCCAAGACAAGTCGTGAAATGCCCGAAGACATTTGTGGACGATGAATACAAGAAAAACGAATCAAATTCAGGAAGTGGTGCATCCCAATAGTAGATTTGATGATGCGTCATGTAAATGTAAATGTAGTGTAATAGTTTTTCATATAGAACTACCATTTGCGCTCTCTCTCTCTGAGCGTGTCAACCGAAGAGTAGCATAAGTACTGATTGAAATTTGCACAATTTGAATTCACACACTTATACAAGCTAGTACTAGACGGGTCTACTGCACGCACCTGTCCAGATGAAAAGTGGCAATCTCGGCATTATGTCTTTCGAAATCACTGAAGTAGAAGTGATTCGGATCCGTCTCATAATCTCGACCGAACCTCAAACCATCTACATTTTCCGCCGACATTTGGTGTAACAGTATGTTCTAAGCCCTATACCCATATAAGCCTGAACAACAATTTGAAAATGTCGAGCTAACCTCATTGGCTTGAACACAGCTTGCTTGTCATTTTCGAACGTGAACACCAGCTTTGCCTAAAACATTGGATTATTAAACAAAAAATTTCTCATTCAGGTACTTTGTCATAAAGAAAAGGATTTTGTGGTGTCGAACTATGTTGTCTAGATGAAGCCCATCCCATTTCGACAGAATCACAAAAGCCACTGTAATGTTCGATAATTCTATTCGGAAACCCAGCTAAAGGTAAATCTCCGTAAAGAACCACCACCGCTCTGGAATAAACATAGCAACATGTTGACAAATCTCCTATAGATCCGTAAAGGCCGACGAGTGCTTGAGATGACGAAGTGAATGAGGGAATTCCGTAGCACTACAAACTGACTCCAGAAAGGAAAACAACCGCTCAAGCATTTTAGCGGTGCAGAGGCCCAGACGACCCATAAAGACACGTCTTACAAGAATCCATGTACTCACTTGGGTACTTGAATAATCCCTCTTCACTGGTTCTACGGATCTCAGAATTATTTTCATTTCTTCGAAGCTTTCTGGTTTATCCATTGCGTTTCCCTGGAGTTCTGAAGCCAGCCCAGCCGAAGTCTGCCATAGATCGTTACCACCACAGGCAATCGCTGCTCATGTGGACCAGAGAGAGATATACCACCTCATGCGATTAGTTTGACACCAAGATGGCTGTGGATCCTGGTATTGGTTTACTATTTGCTGGGCTTCCTGATGGAAACGCACACTTCTGCTCAGCTCGGAAGGCCTTGTTGTGAGGAAGAGCTTCCACACTCTACATCCCGGTCCGACACTCAGAAACACCTCCCAGACAGAATGGAACCAAGTATTTAACAATTTAGATTGGAATTTCCCCTAAGAGCTTCTCCTCAGTAATTTGTTTATAATCAAGTACTTCATTATCTACATATCGATTTGTTTAAAATTCATTACGCGTTGTGCGCTTTGTGAGACGACAGATGTTGCTTGCACTTAAATTGTTTCGACTTGGTCTACCAATAAAATCTCATTATTTTCAAACAAATAAAATCCACTGCCGCCATTTCTCCACATCTCTTTACCACAGACTTTAACAAAATTTTATGACCAGCCCTGACATTCGATACAGAAAAAAGCTGAGCAAATAGAAATGCTTCGTCAACTAGCCTGAGTACCACCTTCCATAATATGGACCGCTTTGATAGAAGCTCGATTTAAATTTGTCAGAAGATCATTTACAAGACCATCGTCGTTGTACAAATTACAACTACCAATCTGTGCATAGAATTTCTCCCATGAATCACGTTCTGGTACAGGCTTTCTGAAGAAAAAAAGTGATTAAGTCCAAATCCTCGAGTTAGTCATGATTACCAGAAAAAAAACTTCGCAGTGCGTTTGCAAACATACTGCTTGAATTTCATCCAGTATTTAGCCAACGTGATGTTGTTTTGACACTCTGACAAGGATAAGGAATACAGATCTTTCCCTTTGAGAAAACTGTATAACTTATTTAACACCATCGAATCGACACTGGTCGGGAAGTCTGGAAATAATGCAGCTCATGTCATTCCACATAGATCTTCGGTGTGTAATTTTTTTCATCCTTATTAGTTCTCAGCTTGGAGATTAAACGCGGATCAAAAGTGTATATAAATGGGTTCGTGCAAGAGTCTGTAGCGAACTTACTAATAAACACATTAGAGGTGCCTCCAAGACTCCAGGACAACGAGTACTCCGAAGAAGTAACCCGACATTATATCCGGACCACACTACAAGTTGCACTGTTTTCGTAACTAGCTTATTGTCATAAACACTGAAAGGGAAGGACTTCATACGAAAATCGTTTTCGTCCTTGTGCCCCTCGAGGGAGCGGAGCCTATTTGTGCAGCTTCATCGCGCGACAAAACCGATAGAAGCTACGCCGGAACTAGCTTGAATCACTCAATTATTGTTACAATTGATATAGATGGATATAGCTGTACATCTGCAAAAGCATCATCTCCCTCGACGATGAGAAACTCCATTGTCTGACTTCACGCTGATTTTTCCTACAGGTCTGACTGACATGAATAAATGGGATCAACTATAGCTCCTCAAGGCTTTACTATATTCCATTATTTAAATGGATCTCAAAACGACTCTTAGGGCTCGATTCATTAAACGTTGTTCCTCTAATACTAAACAGTTATCATAGAAAGAATTACTACATGATTAGTGGTCTTTTTTCTTCTTGCCCTCACAGTAAAAAAAAAACCTCGTCGATTTCACACTGATTCAAAACCGTGGTGTAAAGAAACTCAGAAGTATGGGCAATGGTTTGATCATAAATTTTCTGGTCCGATATGTCAGGTCCTAAGTGTAAAGATAAGTACTACTCTAGAGTGCACATTATTCGTTTACAGGTCTATATCATCCAATAAGCTCAACTACATAAATACTCGAAAGACCGACTTTCTATAAACCTCTGCATAGAGAGTTGATATATTTATTTATATGATCTTATACATAAACACTATTAAGGTATAACTATATATGTCGAGGTCTATAAGGCAAAAAACCACAAGCCGAATTTTCATTCTTTTTCTATCTCCCATAGAATTTTTTAACGACGACTGCTTTTCGAACAACAGAGAAGGTTGGATAGATGGTAAACCAAAAAAGAAGAATATTCATATATTCTCACCATTTTCAAGAACTACTAGATAACAACCACCATCTCAATAGCACTAGGAATTAGCTGAATGAGGTCTATCATCTTATTCACTACTATTTAATTATTCAATTCTGAGAGAACAAACAAACTTCACTAACTGAACGGATCGTCGTTGAGTTTTCCTCGAATCAAACTCGGTGGATTCGGTTGCTTTTGGAATGACATCTGTGGTCCGTAACGAGCCGCACGAAGTTCGTTCTCAAATCGATTAGAGCCGTCAAGCTCACTCGACCTCGGTGCTTCATCCCACTCGTCTGACCACACACATAATAAATACCGCATACTTTGAAGCTCGCAAATGTTTATGATATTACCATGTATTTATAAATATAAAGCTTTCAGGAAGACAAGCTGAATAAATTATATCGGGATTTATAACAGTGAAATACAAGCTTCTACTCATCCTCTTGATAAGAGAACCATATATGGTAATAATTAATAATAATAATAATAATAATAGTGATAGTAATAATAATAACAATAATAATAGTATTATTATAATAAAAAAATAACAATAATACAATAATAATAATATAATAATAAAAATAACAATAATAATATAATAATATTATTATAATAATAAAAATAACGATAATATAATAATAATATTACTATTATAATAAAAATGACAATGATAATATTACAATAATAATAACAATAATAATAGTGAAAATAATAACAATAATAATAATAATAGTGAATCAGTAACCAGGTTTAGCAATAATAACAGAGAGTTAAGAGATGCTTTGTTAGAAATATGAGCTCTAATGGATATTACGAAACAATCCAGAACAGAACTCCAGTCAAGAATTCACTTGAATTCTTGAATGGCCCATCCTCACTGATTGTGTGTGCCCCAGCACAATCTTCATTTTTCGGAGATTTTCTGGTTAAGCCGTTGTGGTCCCCTGAAATCTCGAGATCAGCATGGCCAAAGTCTGCCCCAGATCTTCATCCGTCAGGAAGCACCCGCGCTCACACCAGAACAAGCAATACCTTCCAATGATATGATGTTAGAGAATGAATACCAGTTTACAACGATCACACTAACATTCATTGCCTCAGTATGACTCTGTAATGATATACAAACATCTCCACGAAGTTTATCAATCCCATGGAAAAAAATGACCATTATAATTCTTTAAGGATACTCTGCGCATTCAATTCCATTCGTAGCACTTTCGTAGTAGACATGATTGAATGTATATATTGGTCCATAAAATAAAATGCGTGTTTGGCTATGAATGTATTGAACTAGTGTTCCCATCTCTCGAGATAAATCTGCCTGGCACTAATTCGTCGACCTCGAAGTGATAGGGGGTATGGTTAGCCCGAAGGACGAAATCGAGCAATGATTTTGTTCCTTGGAAAGGCTTCAAAGAAAACAAAACATTTCAACATTCGTTTTTAACTAGACATTTTGTTTAATGCTATTTGTGAGTACATCGCAATCCATTTTAAGTAAACCAGACAACAAATGTATGCATGTTTTCACCGCAAGCTAAGAATTTCTGTTTATGTTGTTATCATCTAGTACTCACTGACATCTGAACATTGGAAAATAGACCACTGAACGATTTTTCTTTAAGTATCTTAGTTATGGATTTTCTGGAAAAGAAAAAAGTAAAAAGACTGCTCACTGCAAATTATGAAATTGGAGACACTCACGACCAAAATTATCACGAGGAAGTGATAGAAGTACAAGTGTAACACCGAACGCAATAAATGCAAATGCAAATATTCGTTTGATATTGCAACGCATTCGGAGCTCTCACATCATCACGTTTTTCGTTCCTGTTTTTCTTTTCTTTCCTTTAGAGAATTTCTCTATCCTGAAAATAATGATCGAAAATCTGTCGGGTCCCAGTTGCCTTTCAAAATACATCAATCACTGCCGTCAAAACACAATTCGAAAGATTACGGAATAAATATGAATGTGCATAAAAATGTTGTGATAATACGAAAATAAAAGAGAAGAAATGAGAAAGGAAAATACAAAGAATGATATGATGGCACGTATGAAGGCTTAATAATGAGCGTTGTTGTCTGAAGAGACATGACACAATGACAGAATCAAAACGTCCTAATGGAACGAATCAGTGGCAACAATAAGTGTCAAGAAAAATTCGATCGGGTGATGATAAGGAGAACAGTGTTACGGATTCATAACAAACATGATTACGGGAAACGAAAACAATATATATGTGAATAGTTTATAATGATTCAAGTATCGTTATTATTGTAAATGTCAACAAAGACCAGAATCACGAACGAATATGGACTAATGCTTCGCAGCAGGTTCGCTGGCTCTAACGCCACTAATGAGGCGATTGTATTGATTGATTTTGACGGTTCACTTGACCTGTGAACAAAAATTCGGTCACGTTAAAACGATAATTGAACTAATACCATATTGTATTGTATTTAAGCAACGAGATAAAAGAAAGTGATGGTAGTTAAATCACAAATAGTGGTGGTGATGAATCTGTATTTTATGGCTGGATTCGACAAGTATCTTGCGTGACTAAACAAATACTGCTTTAGTCTGGCAAGAGCACAATTCATTTCGACTGGAAAGTAAATACGTACAACGCGAGAGAATGACAACAAAGAACGATGATGATGATGATGATGTTGGGTTCATTGAATGGAATGATGATAATAAAGGTCATTATCATCATCACTGTCATTATAATCATTATCATCGTCATCATCATCACCATCATCTCGATCATCATCATCATCGTGATCGTCGTTACCTGCAAGGTTAAAACAAAGTATTGGATGTTCGGACATGCTAAAATAACCGGATGTTGAAGTAATTGGAACGTACAAACATACATACATATATATATACATACATACATACATACATCATACGTACATACATACATACATACATACATTCATACATACATACATACATACATACATACATACATATACAAATATACACATATACATATACTTACATATATATATATACGCATATACATATATACATAACAGGAAGGCAGCTGCAACAGTTTACTATGGATTAAATGGCACGTTGGTGGTTTGCAAAAATTTTGCAGAGCTTTTTCTTTCAGTGAATTCTCAAGAAACCTGTTTCATACATCGAAAAGTCACCATACGTAGTTTTTGACGTTTTGCTACTAAGTTCTGCTAAGAGGACGGCGCACACTTACTTTCACCCAATCTTCTGTATGAATATATCGAACAGTAATTCACAGGTTGGTTAACTTTACTGGTACTGTGATCATCGACTGGTGCATTGCAGTACGATACTCAAGAATATTGACCACTCAGTCACGACGCTACGCTCTCTCGACGGCAAAAAGCCTAGCAAAAATCGAAGCGATTTCCTCCTTCCAGCTACAAATATCGTATGCTATCGAAACAATAGAATAGTATTAAAGTCTAGATATATTAAGAAGAAAATTATAAGTTTTTATTTGCTGCCTACTAGAATTCAAATGCAATGATAGATAGAAACTAGCTAAGACAGGCGAAACGAAGGACCCGCATGGTGTGGTGGTGAACGCGTTAGCCACCGAAGAGGATAGTAGCGCGTTCGTTCCCCAACGCAGACACCTGTGGTCCGGAGTTTTGTAAATGTTTCAGCACAATTTTGGTTGTATTATGATCTGACAATTGATCTAAACATTTTTACCAACATATTGCTTTTTAACTCTCAAACCTTTAGTTCTTTAAGCATTCCATAGTCGACTGGGTTCATTTGAGTCATAGAATTCGAGCATAATAGAATTACAATCATCATACAACATTATTAATGTAAACGTTAGTGCTTGAGAATGAAATGAAATACTGAAAATCATATTGAAACTTTCGAACAAATGATTCGAAATATTCGATCCGATCAACTACTTGTTTCCGAAAAACAGAAAAAACAGACGCACACATTAAGAAGTGAGTTTTGACCGATAAATGACAGCTTCGTAGATCAAATACAGCTGATATCTGTGACAGTTTCGACCCTCAGTTCTACCACATAATACTTACTGACAACGGAGACCACCCACTTGTTTTCTGTTGCAGTAGTAACTGATAATAGTGTTAATAACACAAGCAACTCGTTCATCACTGATCAGTTTAAATTCATTGACAACCAGAAATTCGATAGCAAATTTCATGAATCTAAGGAGTTAACAAAGTCGATAGCTTCGAATCCTTGCTAAGGCGCCTGGGAGTAGAATTACAACACTAACCAAGGTAACATGAGAGACTGGGAACAATAATACGAGTCCAGAAAATCACACTCGAGATCAAAAGATGTAAAAGCTTGACATATTCGAAACTACGAGGATTTTTCAATAAAGGATGATAATATTTTGGTAATAAGGACATTTATAAACATCAGAAGATGGGAAACTGATGAAAATAACTTTGCATGTTTTGAGATGCAAAAAAAAACAACCTTAAAGTAGTGGTGCAAGAAGTAGGATGGGTAGAGATGGCGTGTAATATTACACGCATGGTTTCTGATTTAACCTAGCCCCAGGCCAAGCAAACATCCTACCACTCCGGGTAAGAAAAATTGAACACTAAATTTGTTTGCGAAGAGCTTTCTCTGATCCACCAAGGATGATGACTGTATGCGATAAAGACCTTGGAACATCCCATCATGAGCAAATTCCAAGCAATAAATAAAAGAAGTTCTGCGATCAGAAAAATACAGAAGGTCAGTTTATATTTTTAGAAATTAAATGAAATTAATAAGCGTAATACAAGAAACTACGCGCTAGGTGATAACATTGTATTCCACTGGACAAAGACCTCTTTGTTCAATCGCATCGCTGATCGAGATAGGATTCGACGTAGAAAAGCGAAGCAAATAACATTTTTGTGCTCCAATCAGAACTTTGTCATGGTAGAAATAAACTTTATCTGATTTGAAAAGATTGTCGATTTAAAGAGTTTCTATTTCAAATGACAATGATTATCATCGTTCTACGGATTGCAACACATTTCCGTAACCTGGAAACAGATGCAGTCAGAATCATAGATTGTCAAGGTTATATTAAATTACTATCTTCGAAGGCTAAGGAAACAACTAGGGCTAAGATTGAGCTGATGATGTCTTTGTTTAAACAGGTGGTTAGATTATCTTTCCATAAGCATTTCTTATAACTACAATTCAGAATCGAGATAGATGACACTAAATTTCATTCTATATTTCATTTTCATTTTGTAATTGCAATCAGATTTGCTTACACAAAATGTCTATATTCAGTAGAGTCAGGAAGTTCTTAGTAACTACCTTTTAGCCTTCAGCACCCAAGAACTCAAAACGGTAATAGCACATCAGCAAGAGAACACTATAGAAAAACACACACGAGTTTGAAGAAGAATGAAGCGGCTAAATCGATTGAATGTGAGAAGACATCGAAATCGTCAAATATTTCCACAGTAAGAATAAAGGCGGCTGCAGTGGATGTAGTGGTTGTGTACGAAGACAGCTGATAGGGCACGTTTTCCTAAACGGTTCACCGGCGCTGAACTAGTCCCGCTAGTGACATCACTTATAAGGAAAGATGCAAGTGTGATCTCGGACTGCCAAATTCATCTAAAGAAACTGAGACAAATGCTCCAGACCGATTGTGATGCTTTCGACGAAGTAACGCTTCACGTGTGAAATACGCTGGAATATTCGATTCTGTGAAATTTTATCACATACATAGAAAATAACGACGTGGTTGGACATAGCACCAATATTGCACGGAGCTACACCAGTGCTTTTCAACGATTTTTTCCTAAAGCAAATGGTCACCGTCGTTGTCGTCGTCGTCGTTTCTAAAACAACAACACCCGCGTCGTTTCTGAAACGACAACACTAAGACAGTCGGTGAAGGATTTTTGCTTAGACACAAAATATCGTAATAGTAAAGCTGTATAGAATTGAAGACATAAAGTTCTATCCAAATGGTAATATTATGACAAATAAACGCTTTCAATACTGTGATCAATACTGCTTTTCGACTGGGTGAGCCATGCAAGGTTTCTGCCATAGCAGAGACAGCGTTCAAAACAACATAGCCCTAGCGTACACTAGCGGTACCAGGACTATCAGAATTGACTTAGAAGTTGACCCTTACTACTGTTGTAAAGGGCTGGTTAGTGCGTATTAAATGGTTCTTGTAAACTACTACTTTATTGGAATAAAAACATGCAGGAAGGTGAAAATAATAGTCGTTGGTTCGACACCATACCGAGCATGCCAGGCCATACATCCACCAAATGCCAGCAAATCAATGCCAAATTTTTTCGGAAAAAGTGCTCCCAGTGATCCATAAAAGCTGAGCACTGTCAGTGGTGATGACTTGGTATCGTTATAGCATGGCTCTCGCAAGATTCCAGAAAGGATGAAGTCAACTAGCATTCTAGGACATTCATAAAGAAGACAAAATGCAAATGCGAAGTTTCAGTGAGTGAATAGTGCGAGACAATGGACTCAGTGAAGGAGTTACTGGCGTCTGCATAATATATAAAGTCAGTACGTACAAATAAAAAAATAAAACAACACTTAAAAACTAAAAGTATTAAACTCTCTGTGTTGATCAATCCCTAAGGGATGCGCCATGCATTCGACTTCATTAAGCATCATTAGAGGTATGCATATCTGCACTTTACAATGACTCACGACGGCCAACCGATGCATCGAGCCAATACTGCTATCCTCCCAGACAAATCTGGTACAAATTTGCCGACCGCGGAGGGATGGAAAGCTTGGTGGGCCATTACGCGCGGACAGATTCCACGTGTGTTGCAGGACGCCTCCGACTACTGCGCCACACGCGCACCTAACTTGTCGCGGAGATCTAGAAGGCTTAAATAACTTAAGAAATAAAACTTACATCTTATCAAACGTGGTTCAGTTTGCTAGTGGATTTCATCTTATGGTCATTAGAGGTGTTTTACAATTTCAAGAGTCAGAGTAAGATAAATCAAAAATCGACGAGAACAAATTCGGCTGATCAACGTATTTAGTAGTGTATTCTCAGCTAGCGGTAAAAAATTCACACACATACGTACACAAGAAAGTGGAAGAACAGCTGTGAAACAACTTGTTTTCGGCGAGTCTAGTGGGAATAAAGACGAAATGTCAGCATTTTTCATAAAACTGTCAGTGCGAAACGAGCAGGTAAACGATAGAATTATGCAAAAACACGACGTTCACTGTATGTACATATCGTGGATATTGATTGAAGTCTACGAAAAAATACCTACAGAATCAAAATAGATTGCCTTCAGCTGATCACATTGTTACTATAATTGATGACGTGCGTTATTCAATGGGTGCACTGCTTCAGAATGATGATAATGATGACCATGATCATGGTGAAGATGATGACGATGATCGTTACGATCGTGATCATGACACTTACGACGACATCAGTGACCTGAGTTCCGCGAATCCATTCGTAACCTATCGCTAAGATCTAAGCGACTCCTCTAGTGTAGATAAAAACCATGCTCCAATCTTACGGTTCATTAACAAAAGGCCGCATGAAACTAGCCGTATTCACTAAATTCGTGTCAACTGACCAAATATTTCTAGATAATAGTGAAGCGTCGTGCTACAGTATTAAATTCATAAGTAAATATACTCCCACTGTTGTAAGACGACTACACCATTTTGCACAAGTAGAGCAGCATCTTCTTCTACCGCATGAGAGGAAGGCGTACCTTACAAACTACCACAAAATGCTTTCTGAACCATCAAACTCTTAGTGAAAGTTGGCTAAGGTTTACAGCTCTTCAAATCCACCATTATGAAGTTATCAAAAGAATACCTCAGACTTCGATTCATCCACCGAACTCTTGCAAAACTAGTGGACAACCGCAGAAGAAAAAATTCGAAATACCCAAGACTTTATGCTAAGATTTACAAACAATTGACAAAGTAAAAAATTCCATTCCCTATTTTGCAAATTACCACGAAGTTTATCCGACCTCGTACATAGCTTCGAGAAAGATTTAACAAAACGTAATAGTGTTTTGGCGTAAAAGTACTTGAGATTGAAAAATTCGGAAAGCCTGTTAAATAAAGATATGTTAGGAAAACGAGTGTTTATTACTGATTTTCATAGTATCCGGAAAGTTCGAATTTGAGAAAAAAACGGAAAAAACACAGAAGGAAAGTTTGATTGGTTGAAACGGCAATGATAAATAGGTGGTGGATGACATAGAAAGACCACAACTTAAATGTGCAAACTTCAGTCCAATCTCGGTCGAAACACCCAGTTATAAAGTGAAATTTTTTCAAACATATTTATCATTTCATGGGCGTCATATAAAGCATTATGATCAATTTGGCAAAGCTTAGCTATAAATTCATGCTAAACAGCGGATGAAAAGAAGTGGAGAATGTGTCAACCAAAAAAGAGATGGGCAGGCTCACGAGAGATAGACCAACGCTAAGCTAGTTGTTTCGGAACACTAAAACACAGCGTTCGAAACGGAACTTCGGCTCATTCATACTTGGAAAATTCACGAGCTTAAACTAACATCAAAAATATTTAACTGCCACAATAACGGCTGCATCACCACCGAAGAACGTCGAATGACTAGTGTGGACACCTCCAAGGTATCCATTTGTACAAAAGTAGCACAGTGGATCCCGCTGGCTTTAGGGACACACGCGTCACTATTTTGGTCTTGAAATTCTAGCAAACGACTCTGATCATAAGGTCGATGATCCTGGTGCTGCATGCTTGAGATCCCGTGGAACCCAATCGCTAACGGCTCCTCTTGTTATGGAGCATCGCATGCCTCCCTCCACCTGATTTTCAACATTTTGGAGCACATATCGGCGGTTCTGGTATTTGATCACTCACATTGATTAAAAATTTGAATTCCTCCTCTCACTTCCGTAGTACAAAATACTTCTGTCATAACCCTATTCACTGTCTTCTTAAGCATTCCCAGTTATTTTCCATGTTATGTAACATCAAGTTATCCGATGCGTAAGTTAAGCCAAAAAGAATCGTTGAATTAAAAATGTACGACGTATTCTGGTGTTGTTTTTCCTTTTCGTTATATCTAGATGCTCTTAGAACTCCACAAGCATCTCATTTCCTGGCCGCTCAACTCCACAGCAAAGTTGTTCTTAATGTTGCCTTCCCGATTCCAGTACACATAGTTGCAGTATTCGCATACACTGGCCTGTTGGCGGTGAGCGTAGTATCAGGAACAATCCGTTCTATTTGAACGCTGTTTTCCGGAGATTCAATCCAGAACCAATCTTTCCACAACTGCTACCACTCGTATTTGCACAATCACAAACAATAACCCCTGCGAAATGAATACCGTATACGAAATCAATTTAACATGAGCAACGTTTATTGTGGTAATGACCAACGTTAAACATGCAATTGTTAAGCGCTAATTAAAAGAACTGATGGCATACTCTAAAGCACGAATAAAGAGACCGGAATATTCTCGATAAATGCAAATTCGAAAAGCTATAGCAACAAAAACAAACGACGCCATCAACGTTGCAACCGTGATTCTGCCTTTCTCCTTCAGCGATTTCTTCTCCACATATACTGTGCAGAATCCAATCACTAACTACTGATAAATCCGCTAGAATGATTAGTGGCTCTTGCTAAGAAGTAGCGACAATTCTGATTATTCATACGACAAAAATCACAACACTATCGCTGTTGATACACAGTGCGTACACCGGGAAAATCTGTTATGTTGCGCACTTTTATCTATACACATGTGCATGTGTGCATCTGTGTATGTGTGTATATGTGTATGCATTTTCGTGCATCTTTGTGTAACAAATTTGCAGCACGAATGATTGAAAACGTGCAATAGACATAAGATAAGAAGAAAAAGTAACACGATTTTTTGTAACCACGAGAAAGAATACATACTGCTGCTGCTGGTGGTTCTGTTGGAGCTGCTGCTGCTGCTGCTCCTGCTGCTGCTGATAATGATGATAAAGCTACTACTAGTGCTAGTGATGTTGCGACTACATCTGCTGTTACTAATGCAAATGAATCAAAAAGAACTCGTCTTGAGACACCAACATTTAGAAAAACAATGCGAATTGGCATTCGTTATCCTAGTCATATCTCGTAAAAGTGCAAACAGTGAAGCGAATCAAAGGAGACGTGGACTATTCGTCTGAGGTACCTCCTATCGCTAGCGCAAGTAAAGAGGAATTTAAAGTGAAAAATACAAGAGTGAATGCCACATAAATATTCACAGTAAACATATTATTTGCTATAGTGAATTTTGCAAGAATAACCATATTTTCCCTTTCCTTAATTCTGAATACTAATTTGTATAAGTGTTAAAAGAGTTTTCTAGCACACTCAATAATATTTTTCCCTAAACTCAAATTTTCTACCACCTAGAAAATAATCTTCATGATTCATTTTTCATCTCTCTCTTATTATTTTCAAAAAAGAAGGAAACAGAAAAAGTACACTGCCAAGAAAAGAGAAAATGTATCCAAAGGAAAAAAGAAGGGAAAGACACCCTCTCTTTTTATGTCTCCCTCACTCCCTCTCTTTCTATATATTCTCTCCATATATATATTATATATATATTTATATATATGTCACTTATATCGCTTGTAGTTTACGTTAAAAAAAACAAGAATTCCAAATGAACACGACGAATGTTCCCGTTTGGCGTTGTTCGGAGTCCAGTGGGATCCCCTCACTCAAGGGACGCAAAAAGCATCACTCCTTTTGATACGAGGCAATTTATTTTTATTACTTCCGGCGAGAAAACATTCAAGTAGCCGGCCAAGCTTGGGAACTGGAGCTCACTGATCGCCTTTCAGGGTATAGCATCTCAGGTTCCTCCTTACTTTTTGAATGAAATAGTTTGGCCAAATCCAAGACGAGGACACCATCAGCTTCCATTGAAGCACCTCTTTTCGCGAGAACGAATATGATTACGTGTTACAGAAGGTTCCAGCCAATATATTATTGGTAGACTTATGAGGCACACTCACTGAATATACTTTCATGCCCAAAAAATGCAGTTGTCGATCCATATATAACCCCCTACTCTCTAGTTGGTAATGCTTCAAACAGGTAGCTTTTCGATTAGAAGTCTTGCATCGAGAAACCTCACATAAGGAAGATTCACGAGAAAATTTGAGAGACTTGACAGATAGTGCAGAAACATAGCGAATAAAAGAATAACAGCTGAATAATCACACAAAGCACACTACGTGAACAGCGCCGCAACGTCACAATGCTATTTAAAAACAATGCTGTTCGGGCAACGGTAACTCTATTTTGAATAGGCTTCTGTTATGGTTCGCTTCAGCGAATTTCCAGATTGCAGTCGAAAATCGGTCGTGAGGGAAATCAAAGAAGAAAAAAAAGTAGGTGACAAATGACTTCGTGAATGTTTCTATACACCCGTTTTGAGATGGAGCGCTCAACTTCAAAGTGGGTCGAAATCGTGTCGTTCTATCAGTTCAAATCGCGGACTAAACTATGATCAAAGAAAAGGAAGAAAAAAACTGAAGTGGAAGGACAAACGTTCGGCAATGTACACTTGAATGTTTTTCTGATCGCTTCAAATCGATTTCAACATAGTCAACAAAACGAGGCCTTCTTCTTCTTAAGTGAAAAATAAGAGTTGTCGGTGAAATAGAAAAAAAAACCCCTTCAAATGGAACTAAATCAACTCAGGACGCTGGTTATCTGAACAGGAATGCGATTCATTAGAAAACAACAACGGATTCCGTCAGCGTGTGTTTTCCTCGGCGGCAGCTGTTTTCTGAATCCTGGACAATCCATTGTGCTGACCAGATATTGAGCTTTTTCTACGACGAATAGCGGACTATATTCAGTATAACGCGATCGCATCTCATGAAATAGCACGCTATCTTCCAAACGTAGTACAAAAGTAGTATAGTACTATATTTACTAGTAATAAAGTAAAATCGTCATCAAAAATAGTTCGCTGAATTTTTCATAAGATAGGAGGGCTTAAAATCCTTCTTCTGGAGAAATGCACCAATTCTTGCTTCCGATTCTTTTGAAATGTTAATAAAGGAACGAAGACTAGTGTTCGACATACTGATGACCTCATTGTTGCAAATTTACCATGAGCATATGCTTATTGAATGTTTTTCAAAAAACTCACGCGAAGAACGCTATCATTACTCAGGAACGAATTAAAAGCAATAATTTGGTAAGTAAGAAATCCTATCGATAAAGCCAGCCAACTCCATATGTCATGTAAACGTAAATGCTTATCAAGCGCCTCAAGTCAGTTAGAAACACATTTATTCAGTCGCAGCTGAATGTCCACGGAGCCACGACGATTCAGTAATGAAACAAAGGTAGCTCGTCGAATCTGCCACAAAATCAGTCAAACAAGGTTATCATACCATGAAATTTCAACTATCATCATGCATTCTTCCAAGCTACTGACATTTAGGACAGCAGCATCA